TTGCTCACTCTCTTGGTGAAGTTTTTTAATCTGTCACTACAGGAGAGTAAATTTTCGTATTTGTTCTCCGTTCACAAGAAAGGCGATAAAAGGAATGTCCAGAATTAAAGAGGCATCACATCACTATGTTGCTGCTCCAAAGTATTCCAGATCATCATCAATGAGAATGAGACTCTAGTAAAAATTACATCTCCACGGCTCAGCAAGGATTCTACCCAAAACGGTCAGTTACAACCAATTTGGCCGAATTCGAGTCGCTTCGGACCGTGGACTCTGGTGCAGTGCTGCAAAATTTCAACAATACACGGTGATATTGACGATTCTGCTTTGATCACTCATTTGAGCTAACAGTCATAGTCAAGGCAAACCATGTCAATTGTCAATGACAATGCTGTCAGTGACGAACATGAGTAGATTTTTATATTAACTAAATTTTTAACGAAATTAAATGACTTGAGCAACACAATTACATGGAGCCGTTAACGTGAACAAGCATCTACGTCTTGAACTGCTTGGATAACATTAATGTGACACAGAATGTACGATATTACACTTTCTGTTACCAGGTGAATCTTTGTAATTGACGAAAAAATGAATGAGATTTTGACGAAGGTTTTTTGAGGTTCAAGTCTGTCAGTTACTATGTGACGAAAATTTTTGTCGATATCGCGCGAAAGTCTGTCAATGGTAATGACAAATCTCAGCACTGCTGACAAATCGACGCTGTTTACACTGATCTCAAGGCTGCATTTGACCGAGTAGACCTCAACATTCTTTTGAGCAAGCTTGAGAAACTCGGAGTGTTGGGATCCTTCATCTCGTGGTTCAAATCTTACCTTACCGTTCGCTTTGCGTTAAGATGGGAGCTTCTCGTTCTGAAGTGTTCACGAACGTTTTTAGCGTTCCCCAAGGAAGTAATCTGGGACCCCTTCTGTTTTCGCTTTTCGTCAACGAGCTTTCGTGTCTACTGCCACCTGGATGCCGGCTATTCTACGCTGACGATGTCAAAATGTATGTGGTTATCAATTGCATCGCTGATTGTGAGGAGTTGCAGCTGATTGTGGATCATTTGCAGAATTGGTGCTTCCGTAACTTCTTGACGCTCAGTATCAACAAGTGCAATGTGATGTCATTTCACCGCAAACAAAACCCGATAATATTTGATTATTCCATTTCCGGGAAAACGTTTAAGAGGATTGGCCAGATCAAAGATTTGGGAGTAACACTCGACTGTGAATTGACGTTCAAACCACACTACAATGACATCCTGACTAAAGCTAACAGGCATCTTGGCTATATGTTCAAAATATCTGAAGACTTTCGCGATCCGCTTTGCCTGCGGGCGCTGTATTGTTCGTTAGTACGTTCAATCTTAGAGTATAGTGCTGTCGTCTGGTGCCCGTACCAAGCATGCTGGATAGCCAGATTTGAGAGTGTACAAAGAATGTTTGTTCACTACGTGCTTCTTCATCTGCCCTGGCGTGACACGGCTAACTTCCCGTCTTACGTGGATCGCTGTCGTCTGCCAAAACCTATCATTAACCAGAACCTTCCACGCGGCATATACAATTTCAAGAAATGACAGTCTCATTGTTTTCCTTTTTTGATAATGGCTGCATATTCCGATACAACTATTCAAAACTTTCGTAAACCGATTTGTGATCCATTTTACAAAATCACTTGTGTAAATAAGATCAGACAACACAGTAGATGGAATAACTCCAAATCATTCTGAAAATTGTGAACGAAAAAATATATTTTTATGTTATTTTATAAGTCGATAATTCTTCAACTCGATGATCCCTTCAATATCGACTTATAGAGAGTTGACTATATTTTCATTTCATTTTTATAAGATACAAATTTCGGAAAAAAAACTCATTGTCTCAGACTCTAAATAAATGTCAAAGGCTCACAATCTTGGAAATTTCCCTTAAATCCCAAAATATTCGACAACAATTCACTAGGTCTCATTTGTTATCAAATTCATGCATTCTAAAACAATTTCTCAAAGTTTAGAAATTGGTCTAATGTCCGATAGTGTTTGGCCTAGTGCCCATAACAAATGTCTTTATTTCTCAGTAAATCCTGGGGCTTTGAAAACATGATGGCTTGGCTGACTTGAAACATGAGGCTTAAAAAAGTGGTAAAATTTGATTTTTCTAAATAATACTGAAGATTTGCCTACAAATATCTTTGAAACTTTCAGAGTTGGTTGGAAATGCTAACATGAAGCTTTAGTGTGATAATTTACTAGCTAGAGAATGATCTTTTAGAAGCGAGTAGGTGGATAGTTCCGTTAGAGTACGGCAGTATGAAAATTGAATAGAAGTTGAAAATGAGCGAAGGGCCATTAATGCGACAGTTTTTAAAGATAGACGCACATCTTTTGCCTAACCCGTACGATGTACGCGGAGACTTGAAGTATGTCTCCAAGTCTACAGGCAAAAAATGTGCGTCCCTCTTTTGTTCATAAACTGACTGCGGCTGTGGAATAGTTCTAGCGACGTTTTCATCACTACCTAAAGCCCCACGTTGCGAGAGCATTTCCAGTCGATGGTGTGTTATAATGCAATTCTTCTTTACCCAACTATTGTGTTGCTCCTCTCGTCATGACCAACGTGATCATCTCAGAGAGAAAGCAGTAGGGTGGTTGTTGCGTGCTGTACCATCATCAGCATTGTTGACGGCTACTCCCGCCTTGAGTTGTTACATTCAAAGTGTTTTTATGTTACTTCATACGCGAAGTTAGCGATTTTCTGAATTGGTTGGAAATGCTAACATGAAGCTTTAGTGTGATAATTTATTAGCTAGAGAATGATCTTTTAGAAGAGAGTAGGTGGATAGTTCCGTTAGAGTACGGCAGTATGAAAATTGAATAGAAGTTGAAAATGAGCGAAGGGCCATTAATGCGACAATTTTTGAAGATAGACGCACATCTTTTGCCTAACCCGTACGATGTACGCGGAGACTTGAAGTATGTTTACAAGTCTACAGGCAAAAAATGTGCGTCCCTCTTTTGCTCATAAACTGACTGCGGCTGTGGAATAGTTCTAGCGACGTTTTCATCACTACCTAAAGCCGTTGCGAGAGCATTTCCAGTCGATGGTGTGTTATAATGCAATTCTTCTTTACCCAACTATTGTGTTGCTCCTCTCGTCATGACCAACGTGATCATCTCAGAGAGAAAGCAGTAGGGTGGTTGTTGCGTGCTGTACCATCATCAGCATTGTTGACGGCTACTCCCGCCTTGAGTTGTTACATTCAAAGTGTTTTTATGTTACTTCATACGCGAAGTTAGCGATTTTCAGAGTTGGTTGGAAATGCTAACATGAAGCTTTAGTGTGATAATTTAGTAGCTAGATAATGATATTTTAGAAGAGAGTAGGTGGATAGTTCCGTTAGAGTTGCTCCGTGGTTACGATTTAAAATAATGTGAGTTTAGCTGAATATTAAAAACCGGGATATTTTTGAGGTTTGCATCGGGAAATCCGGAAAAAACCGGGAATTTCAAAATAAAAATTCTCTACCATTTGGGTAAATTGTATTCGGGAAAACGGTCATTCGGGTAAATGCCTTTCTGGGAATTGTACGAGTTTAGGATAATAGTTGGTTTAAGGTAATGACATTCGGGGCAATGTCATGGAATCCTTGATTATAACAAGGTTTCCTGATAGCTCCCAAGACTTCCAAGAATGTTTTAGAATTTTTCAAAACTTGTTTTGAAAGTTCGCTGGATAGATTTGGGCGGATTACACAACAATTTATTTTACAAAGCAAGAATCAGAAGATTTAAATGTATCAATACGGCATATCCAAAAGACATTCTTTAGTTTAAATTTGAGCATTTCATAAACTTGTCAAATTTTGCATAATTTGTTTGAATTTGATACAATATCACATGTTTCGATTGGTTCAGTTTTTACCACATTCTTATCTTAGTGGAACAGTTGTGCATACACGGGAACAAATCAAAAATCCGAAATGATGAAAATGACTCATGATTTCATGAACATAGCGTATTTTCATGTTATGAAAATAAACCATGAATAATATTCATGATATCATGAGCTATATTTGCGCAACGCACCCAAAATTCCCGAAATCATGAATCATCCGAGTTAAAATCATATACTAAATTCATGAGTTTAACTTTTAGTTTTTAAACCAAATCATGTAAAAAATAAATAAAATAATGCAACAGACTGGATTTGAACCAAGAACCTTACAATCAATAAACCTATACTTTGACCACTAGACTATCAGTACTTGTATAAGATGGAAGGAAAAAGGCGTATAACAGATACCTATGTAGTGCGGTGAACACGGTTTCCCAGGTAACGCTTGAACCGCTGCATTATGAAATCATGAATTTCCATAACCAACCAACCATATTCATGAAAATGGAATCGGATTTTTTCCCGTGTAGGTGCATTTATGCAACTTTATCATTTGTGGAATTCTAAACGCTGAAACGGTTCCATCTGATTATGTCGATGCATCGAATCATTATGACACCGATATAAATTTCTTAACACTTAGTCTGTGCGTTTTCCTAGTTTGTTAGAAAACCCCCAAAAATCCTTAAGACATCTGCTGGACCTAATTATAGCTCAATTAATTCCTACTATGGGATCCTCCAAAATATGCCACAATACACCATAAGAGTAACGTGCGTGAGCCTTGGACATTCCGGAAGTGTTAAAATTTTATCTGTTATGAATACAAATCATCACATTAATGCTCATCTTCACACAAACTCAACCCCACAAAAAAAAAAGGTAAACTTTTTCCGCTCAAACTTCGAAAATGGCCACATTAAGCTGTCATATTTGCGAACTTAACACTGATCTTCCATTAGCATCATAACAATGCTGACCACACTTGCTGAAACTTCAATTAGCTCAAATCATAAATTTCAGTCGTCATTAGAGTTAAACATGTCATATGCAGTAGTCAACTGTTGACGGCAACGGACCGCGCCCTAAGAGCATACTCACATTAGCATCCCCCGATCATCTGCCGTTTGAATTTGAACCAATTTCACGACGTCGTCGTCGTTGTCGTCGTCGCCGGTACCGCTGAAAACCGCTTCCACATTCAGCTGTTTCAGCAGGGTGTGAATCACCACTTGGCTGGACTCGATGTGCCCGTCCAGACGGTCCATGCAGCTTCGCATCCGTTCCAGAACTGTCATGTTTCGCAAATTGCCCGGACGCAGAGCTGGAAAGGTGCTCTGGAAAGGGAAGAACTGGAATGCAATTCAGTTGTAAAGGACTCTCCCGGAGCGGAGGAACGATTTGGATGTTAATGATCGCTAACACAATTACTGTCGGTGGTACTTTTAGTTCGATTTCATTTCTTTGTCGGTTACAGCTGTGAAATTGTTTGTGTACCGTCGCTTATCTTGCGCTAAAAGACAATAATGATAATTTAATTATCATTGAGCTTCCGAATGCTAAGCGTATAATTGCGGTTTGGAAAGTGCATAGTTCTTTTACGGTGCTGTGAAAGGCACTTGACTAGCGTCGTTGGATTCATGCTATGGAATGAAAAATAGATAAGCCAATTCTTGCTGTTTGATAATTGATATATTTAGCTAAAGTAAAATCTGTTCCACAGATTGACTTCTTTTCGCACCCCGTATTGTAGCACTCGGGGCAAAATGGGATACGCACTCGTGCGCCGGTGCTTATTTGTTAACGGATAATTACCCGTTTGATGGACGTTTCCGTTCCGTTTTCTGGAACAGCGATCGTTTACGTAGCAGAGCGAGCGTCGGTGTTATCACTTTGCTTTCGTGGCACCCATTATTGGCTCAGGACTGACGCAGATTTGGCGGGGCAGCTTATTAGGGACACGTTTAGCGATGAAAGCACCTTGTACGTTCTGTTCTACACAGTTAAGCGGACTATCGACGAAAGTCTACTTATCGTGTTCAGTAGAATCTATACGCGTGCGTGCACTGACTGACGTTCACGACCGGTTTTCCTCGTCGAGATGTACCGAATGCAAACGTATAGAAAAATCGACTAGCTCACCTTTTGTTCCTCATCACCTGAGGCTACATAAACAGAAGCCAGAACGGCAGCTGCCAATAGAATGATGTTTTCGATTCGATACATGACACCGTTTTCGTGTCAACGTCTAGTGTGCAACTAAGGTGAGTATAAACTGAAGGGTTCTACGTAAAGTGTACGTTGTAAAGTGAAAATTTTGATACCAGTTGGGTAAATATTTGATAAACGTGCTTCATTAGTGAAACAGTTCTTGTGATAACATGTTATCGTAAGTGCTGTAGTAGAACTTTTTTTAAGGTCGCGTAGGGTTTGTTTGAAAACATGATGCCGACATGTTAACCTGTACACCTTTTGCCGGTCATTGTTGCTAGACACAGTAGCACAATCGTTTTCAGTCTAGACTTGTTCTCTATCTCAGTAATAAGTTTTGAATATGTGTTTTATTTCACATAAATGAGCCATTTGTTAAGAAAATTGCTTACAAGTTATAAGTAAGATTGAAACACAGTGCTTTCTGGATTTTGTCTGCCCACGGTTTTGCAAATATTTTGTTTCACGCGAACCAAAAAATAAATTAGGATTAGGAAACCCTCCGTTACTCGCGCCAACTTTTGTAACACGAGTACTCGCGCGTTGTACTTTGTACAACAGTGTGAGCTTTCTATTGCCATTTTGAAACCGAGCTATTAATCGATATGAAACGAACGGGTATTCCTTAAGAAACTCGTTTTTAACCAAACAAGCTAAACTTTTATCACAGTTAACCCCCAAAAAATGCGGATTATAGAGAAAATGTGAATGGAAACCGCGTAAACAGTAATTCAGAATCTTCTCACTAGGTAGTGCTCGTATACATGTTAAGTTCTCGCATGTGATACATCACTAGATCCTGACCAGATGGAGAGTAAATGTCTGTGGCAAAGTTGTTCAGGAAGTCAAGATCTTTTTGTTGGTGGACAGTTGTTCAGATTTTTATCACTACGCGGTGCTAGTATACACACGCAATTCTAGTATATACAATAGCTCGAGATCCTTAGCAGATACAAAGTTACTGTTTTGGACAAACTTGTTCAGGGGGTCAAGACTTTTTGGCTGGTGGACAGTAGCCTAAAGTTTTCTCACCACGTGACGCTAGTAAACGTGAACAATTCTCGCGTATGCTATAGCTCGAGATCCTGAACAGGTAGAAAAATTACTGTATTCGAAAAATTTGTTCGTGAGGTCAATGCCTATTGCTTGGTGCACAATAGTTCAGAATTTTCACTCTACGTGGCATGAGTATACACGCGAAATTCTCGCATATAAAATATCTCGAGATTCTGATCAGATAGAAAGTTACTGTCGTCGACAAAGTTGTTCAAGTGGTCATAACGTTTTCGCTAGTGAAAAGTAGTTTAAAATTGTCTCACTACGTGACGCTAGTATACATTCTCGCATGTGGTTTGTTTCGAGATCCTGACCAAATAGAATGTTACTGTCTTGGGCAAAGTTGTTCAAGGGGAAAAGGCCTTTTGGCTGGTGAACAGAAATTATTTTTTTTACATCATTGCGCTTGTTTACACGTGTAATTCTCGCATTAGATATATTTCGAGACCTGCTAAACTGTCATCGGCAAAGTTGTCCAGGAGATCAAAACTTTTTCGTTGGTCGACAGTGCACAATTTTCTCACTACGCGGCGCTAAGATATACGTGAAATCTTCTCATACATAATATCTCGAGATCCTGAACAGCTAAAAATTTACTGTTTTTGGCAAAGCTAGAAAACATTATCTTAAAAGATCAATATCGCTGAAACTTCCAAAAAATTAATGTTTAGAGTCTCCCTTTCATTGTAGGCTAATTTCAAAATGTATTATCGAGGGGTCTAGAACAAAAAAATCCCTGTATTTACGTGTGCACGGACAACGAAACTAACTCAGAGAGTTTGGCACTTTTGTTCAGTTGAATGGAGAAATTTATAAATTCGTACACCTAGTTTAAGGACACCCCCAAAAAAACATGCAAATGTGTTATGTTCATATCTTTGTCATTTAACGTCCATTTTTCGTTCTTTTAGAACATTTGAAAGATTTTGAATGGAAATACGAAGAGGCAAATTGCTCCATATAATTTTCAAATTTTGTATACCAAATGTTCACCCAAAGTTTCACTATTTTTCAAAATGTACTCTGAAGAATCATGATTGATTTTCTCAGAATTGAGATATCTATTTGAAATTAAAAGTAGAAGTAGAACCTTTATTCTATGCCATTCATGCCATTCAAATAACCTAAGGAGATCAAAAATTGGACGTAAAATGAGAGAGCTTTGAACAAAACACATTTGCATGTATTTTGGGATGTATTTAAGCTTATGATCGGGAGTGTAGGTTACTCAGTGCTGAGTGAACTACGCTTTTGGAAATTTCTCCAGACAAATGAGTAAAGCAATCTCACGACTGAGATAGTCCTATGGCTCGACTGGCTAACTCGTGTGTATATATTTTTTACATTTTACATTACATTACACTTTTTAGACGAACTGAGTAGATTCTTCTCGTTCAGATTTAGGATTAGGTGTATGTAACCATAAATTCGACGTCACACTCCTAGCAGCGTAGGAATAGCGGTATAATGAAAGAGGTGATAATTTCATATTAACAGGCCTTTTCTTTATGACTTTGGATGTACCTACACACTTAGAATGTTTTTGCCAATATGGGAACCACCGAGCAGCTCGGTATTTTATTTTTCTGGATCTCAGCGAAAAACTTGCCACGTGGTGAGAAAATTCTTAACTAATGTCTACCAACCAAAAAGTCTTGACCCCCTGAACAACTTTGCCGAAGACAGCACCTTTCTTACTGATCAAGATCTCGAGCTAAATATGCGAGAAAGGCACGTATATACTAGCGCTGCATAGTGGAAAAAATCTGAACTATTGTCACCCAACAAAAATATTTTGACTTCCTGAAAAACTTTGCCGAATACATTTACTTTCTATCTGGATAGGATCCGAACAACTGTCCACCTGCGAGAAGGCCTTGACCTCCTGAACAACTATGCCGAAGACAGTACATTTCTATCTGGTCGGGAACTCGAGATATTAAATATGAGAATTTCACGTGTATACTAGCGTCGCGTAGTGAGCAAATTCTGAACTATTGAGCACCAAGCAATAGGCTTTGACCTCCTGAAAAACTTTGTGGAAGACAGTAACTTTCTATCTGGTCAGGATCTCGATATATGTCACATGCAAGAATTTCACATGTATACTAGCGCTACGTAGTGAGAAAAATCTGAACTACTATCCACCAGCGACATGGCTATGATCTCCTGAACAACTTTGTCGGAGACAGTAACTTTCTATCTGGTCAGGATCTCGATATATTCCATGTTGTAATCAATTAAGTCAAATCCCACGTAGTATGGTCACAGTTTACGCGGTTTCCAATTACATTTTCCCTATTATCCGCATTTTTTAGGTGTTTACTGTAATCAAAGTTTAGCTTGTTTAGATCAAAACAAGTTTTTTGAGGAATACTCGTTGGTTTCAGATCGATTGGTAACTCAGCAACAAAATGGCAATGGAAAACTCATGTGTGTTGTACAAAGTACAACAGCGCGAGTAACGGAGGGTTAATGAAAGTTGAATTTCCTTACATCTTCCGTTGATGAACATCACGGCAAATGTTTGAAGTTGTGCCTGATTTGTATTTCATTCATAGTAGATTTCCTTGCCTTGATTTGTATTTCATTCATAGTAGAACGCTGCACACATTAGCCACGATTTTCCCCAGAGATAGATTTTCGATGACATTTTGAATTGATGGCACCATCTGGTTTCCGACAGTTTGTCTACTACTCAATCAATCTTGATGGGTTATCGAAATTAATTATGTGGTAATATAAAATTTAGCTCTGCTTGTCTTTTTTTAAGCATGACAAGTTTGTTCGATCGTGGCATCATCTTTGCGGATGAGTTGCGAACTATCTGTTTACGCCAAAGATAGCTTTAGTTATAACGAGAAACTTTTACGAGGGTATCAACCCTCGGAAAAATTTCCTTTAAGTGATATTTGTTTTTTCGTCTAAATTGCAATCCTGGCCCACTGTGTGGGTTGGTCGTGTACTCGTCGGAAATCGGTGTACCACACCAATTAACCCTGAAGTAAAGAAATTGGGTTGTTAGTGGAATGCTTAAATAAAGCAGCAAAAAAGGTTATCTGCCATTTAATTCCACTTAATTATATTTGGTATCCATGACAGATGAGTATTTCGACAACACTGTGTAGTCTTCATCAATTAACCCTATTAATCAATTACCCTCCCTGATTAGGAGTAAAAGATGTTGGCTTAAAGCTTTCGGAATTGTATCGGATACTCTAATTTAGAGGGAACGGATGTCCAACGCCATTTTTCAACCCAATATGGTGATATCCTGTATCCAAAAAGTTCAGATACACTATGGACGATGAATAATAGCTTCCAGAGTTGAACAAGAATGTAGTTGTATTGGCATTTGGTTAAAAGCTTTAAAAACTGCATGGAGCACTTTTGAATAGTTGTTTGCATTTGCACTCACGATAACTTTCATAGCACCTCAGTTAAATGGATTGATAAGAGCTTAATAGAACGTGGAATAAAAGCATTATACTCCAAAAAGACTTCTTTTATGCCACACTATGTATTGACTTTAACACGATCATGAAAAAGAGTTTCAATGACTATCAGTGCACACATTATTCACTAAAAGTTGCTGACAAGCAGGTTGTACTGACACTTATACTAGTTATCTAATCAACTCTTATTGGAATAGTGCTTCCAGATATGTTTTATAAGTACACGCAAACCAAAAATCTATTACAATGAATGTTAGTTCCATTTCCTATCATCCTCTGTTCATGAACATCGCAACGAATGTTAGAAATTGACCGTGCAGGCGATGTAATGGTGTTTTGTCTTTTTTATTTCGTGTTCTATCTACGCTTTCGACTATACCAGTAAGCTTGTAGAACGACGCACACACTTGCCTCGAATCTCTCCAGCAGAAAAAGCATACGAAGTCGAGTATGCGAGAAAATGCGCTCCATGTTTGCTTTTAGGCTATCCATGTTCAGAAGCATGGAGAGAGCAGTGGAGATAGCACAG